TTTAATAAAATATATTTGTATATACATTACAATACAATATTAATATACAATATAGATATCAAACTTCTTTTGATTTTTTAGTAGGATAAAAAATCAAAAGAAATTGATATTAAAATTTTATTCTTAAGCATAGCATTAATTATAACAACTTTTTTCGAAAAGATGCGCATATATTTCTAAATATATATACACTGAATTACAATGTAGTTTAAACCAATTCAAATTTGAGGCTGTAGATCTTCTGACTATATACTCTGAATGAGATTTTTTTCCAGAGAATTTTTAATCCACAACAATTTAATTTCAAATATGTTTGCTGTTAAGATCAATAACAAAACTCAGAAGTTTGTCCTTATTATCAGGATGAGAAAGTTGCTTTTTAAACCTTTGACAGTGGATCTTGAATTTTGGCATACATCAATTCAGTGGTATGCTCCCGAGTTCAGTTTCGTTTTTTTCAGTTAATTACTTAATGTAATGAATAATTACATGTGCTTGGAGTAACTGAAATTCCAAGAGCTAGGTAAGAGTGCTTGAATTCTGTAATATTTTGACAGATCCCTGCCTCCAAGATCTTTCCAAAACAAGCTTTTTTAAAAAATTGAAGCAATCATTAAAAGGAATTGTTTGCAAAGCACAATGTTTTTGGACAAGACCCTGAAGAATGTCAACATTCTTCAACAGTCTGTTGCATTCATTTCCATTAAACTTTCCTCCATCATATGTTTGCACTTAAAGGTGCAAGAGATTCGGCCATTTTTGTGCTTGATCCCATATTTCAAGGACGTGCTTGAAAATGTGCTTGAAGATTCTAACAAAAAGATGAAGCTCCGTTGGAGGAATTACATCAAGAATAAGCTCAGATTACCTGTAGGGGTTAATTAATGGAGGATGGACAACGTTTGCATAATTCTTAGCTGAAAAAATTTTGCGCCTGAAGAGAGGAATCCAGCATAGCTGTTGCATAAAGAACTAAATGTTCTTGATTGGCCAGAGTTTGTAAGATTGTTAGACAACATGGGTGTTTGCTAGAGTGAGACTGAATACCATATAAAATGTTGGCTACTTTCATGTCACGTGAGATTATGCAAGACACATCTTCAATGTGTATGAGGCTTAATAGTGTCCTAAGATTTTTATATGTTTCTGCTGCAGCAACAATCAGTTGCTTTTTTGCACCACCATCCCGGGTAGAAGAACTTGATTGAAGACACGATGATCCTTGAGTATAACTTTGGAATATGTGTCAATTACGCTGAGTGTAATTTTCAAAAATGAACCGCCTCCATCAATTTTAAGTTTAATTAAATGATGTGATGAAAGTCCTCTTACTGAGAGAGTATTGTTGATTGAGGCATTCAAGTTGTTGCTGAAAACAACTTTTCGAACTTGGTTTTTTATTTCTTTGTCCAGAATGACGTTTGACATCATGAAAAAATCTGGTAATTTAGAGCTGATGCAAGCCTTTTCACACCAACATTGGAAAGATTCGTATTGTTTTGAACTTGAACCAATGTTTCAGCAGTAAATAGGTGTTGATTGTACTTTGCTGAATGTCCCGGCATAACATTTAAAAATTTACCTCCACTTTCTCGACTAAGTTTGACAGTACCTCCTGGATAGGCATCTTTTTTAGAGATTGAATCAGCTGCTATTTGTTCAGCACACTTATGGTCTTCTACAGCAAGTTTTTGTACATTTTTCCGCTTTTTACCATTAATACAAAAGTGTAGATTTCCTTTCGCAAGTACCGACAAACAAATACTACATCTTTTTTCAGCTGGCTGTTATGATGAAGGTTTGTGACTGGAAGCTTTGATACGGTCAGTTTCAGGGTAGACTTTTGACAAAGACAAATTAATTTTTAACAGAAATGCCAATTTTTTTGTTTACATTATTTCAGCGACAAAAATTTGGCGCCAACATTTTAATTTTATCGCTTTAAAATTTTAATTTTTAATAAAGAAGAAAATAAAAGTCAAACAATAAGTTAATACAATGTTGTTTAGAGGTAACTGCAACATTTAAGACAAAACAAAAGGTTTTTTTAGTGACTTTTAGCAGTGGAAACGCATTTTGAAAATTAAGTTTCTTAGCGCTAATTAGGCAAAAACTTTAAATGCAATTTTCTACTGCAGACATAATTAAAGGATTTTAATTTTTGTTTAAAGTGCTCACCGTAACCTAAAGAATCTCCCCTCTAAGGGATTTTTTGGGTCATTTTCAAAGAGATTAATACCCCTTTTTGGACAACTGTGTTGCAACAACAAAATTTTGTTGTTGCAACGTTATTCTAATTTCACGACAAGCTGTTTGCTAACAATTTTATTACGTTTAGATCGTTCCCTTTTTTGCTTTACTTTCCTATGGCTTGAAATTTCTTAAATTAAATAACAACTATAAATTATTTAATAGTTAAATATTAAATAATTTTTTTGACATTTCAAAATTTATATCAGTTTTTAAAAGCTTATTTTTTTATTTTAAATAATTAGATCGGTTCGATTCGGTTTTTACCGAAAAAACGGTCCGGTTCGGTTTACCGCGCGGCCTTTCTACTAAAACAAATTCTTGTTTTGAAAATAGATTTGAGAGTAAAATTATCATGTATATGGGCGATTCCACAAAAAACTTAGCGTTAGTTAAATTTTATTTCAGTAATAAATTCGCCCTTTTATTTTGTGCCTAAAACAAAGCTTTTTAACTTATTTTATTCTACGAGTCTGAAGAACAAATAAGCTAAAAACTTTTGAGTCTGGCAAAAAGAGTGCGAACTTATAACCGAAATGAAATCTAAC